GCAGTGCAATAATTAGTGATTTTAACACCAGCCCAATGATGATGTCCCTTGTAAAGAAACCATTCGGAGAGTGCCGATCGCTGACGTCATCACACCTGCTCATCTGAGAGGTGTATGTTCATCCATGACCCCACTTCAGGTAGTGAAATTATTATTGATTTAACACCAGCCCCATAATGAAGTGGGGTCATGGATGAACATGCACCACTCAGATGAGCAGGTGTGATGACGTCAGCAACTGCCGCTCCCCGAATGGTTTCTTTACAAGGGACATCATCATGGAGCTGGTGTTAAATCACTAATTATTGCACTACCTGGTAAGCAGATAGTGTGTCTTCTTTGGTGGCAGAAGATTGAAGTGGGGTCACAGATGAACATGCACCGCTCAGCTGAGCAGGCATGATGACGTCAGCTCCAGGCTCCACCCAACACCTTTCACAACAAGGGACGTCATCAAGGGGATACTGTTTAATTAGGAATTACTTCATTTTTTTAATTCACATAAATGAGTTCCCTTGTGGAATTGTTAATGTTGGTTACTTTATTTCACGTTGAGTTTGGCACTGATTAATTCAGTTGATCTTAAACGATTAGCGCAACCATTTTATCATTTTAGTTTGTTTTTTTTTCTAAAAAAAAATCTGAAAAAAAAAAAAAAAAAAAAAAAAAAAACGGTTCATGTTCATCAATTTAATTGTAAATTGTGCCTTTTCTTTTTTTCTCCCTCCAGTTGATAAAAGGTAAGCACAGTACTCTGCACACAAAAGTGTCAACAGACTGGTACAAAACACACAAACAAAAACAAAAAAAAACACCAAGAAAAAAAAGCAGCAAAATGAAGAAAAAAAAAAAAAAAACTGCATACAATTCCTCTTTGGGTGACCCGCCACTAAAAATAAATGGTTATATAAGGCTTATGGTGAAAGATTTTTGGTGAAGATGGATGGATGGATGGATGGATGGATAGTCTTTACAAATGAGACGGATTCAGCACAGGATGCCAGAGTCTACCTGCAATGTAAGTTTTAAGGTTTACCAACAGGCAGAACACATCGTTGTTTCACCAAAAAAATACAAATCAGCAACATTTCAGAAAAGGTATCCCACAAGTCTAAAGAAAAGAAAAACATGGAGCAATAAAACCATACTTCCATTTCATGTGGATGCTGACAGGTTGACTCAGCTGGCTGATGCTACCATCCCATCCCACCTGAGTCCCGGTTCCTACCCCTGTGCTGCAACCAACAAGAAAGGCTGTCGCACTCTCTGCTGCCACTTTACATTTTTATTATCTAACACCAGAATGAAGCCGGCTGCTCGGTATTACCCATGGAAGTAATTCTTCATTGGTTACATTAACAGAGTACAGAAAATAACAGAGTACAGAAAATAACACACCAACGCGTTTCGTCCAAAGCTATCATATGCTATTTGTACAGTTTTTGCTGAAACGCGCTATGCGTTATTTGCTGTACTCAGTTATGTAGCTCCATTTTATCAGCGGAATGTACTCAGTTATGAAGCCAATGAAGAATAACTTCCATGGATGATACTGAGTATCCGGCTCCATCAGTGGATTGTCATTTCAGCGCGGAGGTACTTGAGCAAGAGCTCCCGTTTCCCGCTCCTCAAGGGAAGATTGCAGTTGAGCACATCAGTATTATCAATGGAAGTAATTCTTTATTGGCTAATTAACAGAGTACAGAAAATAACACCAACGCGTTTCAGCAAAAGCGATCATATTCAACACCAACGCGTTTCAGCAAAAGGCTATCGTATTCAACACCAACGCGTTTCAGCAAAAACCGATCATATTCTACCACATTATTTGCTGTACTCAGTTATGCAGCTCCATTTTATCAGTGGACTGTACTCATTATGTAGCCGATAAAGAATTACTTCCACACATGATACTGAGTAGCGCCATTTTATCAATGGACTGTTTATTTTAGCGGAGAGGCACTTGAGCAAGAGCTCCGGTTTCCCGCTCCTCAGGAGCAGATTGCAGTTGAGTACATCGGTATTGTCAATGGAAGTAATTCTTTATTGGCCACTTAAAGTATAGAATGTATCGCACCAAAGCATTTCAGCAAAAGTTTGTGCCAAAACGCGCTAGACGTGATTTGCTGTACTCCGTTATGTAGCCGATAAATAATTACTTCCATGGATGATACGGAGTAGCCGGCTCCATCAGTGGATTTTCATTTCAGCACGGAGGTACTTGAGCAAGAGCTCCCGTTTCCCGTTACTAAAGGGCAGATTGCAATTGAGCACGTCAGTATTATCAATGGAAGTTATTCTTTAATGGCTACATAGAGTACAGAAAACACACCAACGCGTTTCAGCAAAAGCCATCATATTCTATGAGTAAAGTTTGTGTTGAAATGCGCTAGTATGTTATTTGCTGTACTCCGTTACGTAGCTCCATTTTATCAGTGGACTGTACTCATTATGTAGCTGATAAAGAATTGCTTCCACACATGATACTGAGTAGCGCCATTTTATCCATGGACTGACATTTCAGCGGGGAGCAAGAGCTCCCGTTTCCCGCTCCTCAAGAGCAGATTGCCATTGAGTACATCAGTATTGTCAATGGAAGTAATATTTTAACGGCTACTTAACAGAGTAAAGAATATAACACACCAACGCGTTTCAACAAAAGCTAGCAAATTTTATGAGTAAAGTTTACGCCAGAATGCACTAGCAGGTTATTTGCTGTACTCAGTTATGTAGCCGATAAAGAATTACTTCCATGGATGACACAGAGAAGCCGGCTCCATTCTATCAGTGGATTGTCATTTCAGAGCGGAGGCACTTGAGCAAGAGCTCCCGTTTCCCGCTCCTCAAGGGCAGATTGCAGTTGAGTACATCAGTACTGTCAATGGAAATAATTCTTTAATGGCTACTTAACAGAGTATAGAAAATAACACCAACGCGTTTCAGCAAAAGCTATCAAATTCTATGAGTAAAGTTTGCGCCGAAACGCGCTAGTTGCTAATCACTGTACTCCGTTATGTAGCTCCATTTTATCAGTGGACTGTACTCATTATCTAGCCGATAAAGAATTACTTCCACGCATGATACGGAGTAGCTCCATTTTATCAATGGACTATCATTTCAGCGGGGAGGCACTTGAGCAAGAGCTCCCATTCCCCGCTCCTCAAAAGCAGATTGCAGTTGAGTACATCAGTATTGTCAATGGAAGTAATTCTTTAATGGCTATTTAGAGTATAGAAAATAACACACCAACGCGTTTCAGCAAAAGCCATCAAATTCTGAGTAAAGTTTGTGCCGAAACGCGCTAGTTGCTATTTACTGTACTCCATTTTATCAGTGGATTGTACTCAGTATGTAGCCGATAAAGAATTACTTCCACGCATAATACGGAGTAGCCGGATCCATTCTATCAGTGGATTGTCATTTCAGTGTGGAGGCACTTGAGCAAGTGCTCCCATTTCCCACTCCTAAAGGGCAGATTGCAATTGAGCACATCAGTATTATCAACGGAAGTTATTCTTTAATGGTTACTTACAGTACAGAAAAAAACACACCAACGCGTTTCAGCAAAAGCTAGCATATTCTATGAGTAAAGTTTTCGCCGAAACGCGCTAGTTCATTATTTGCTGTACTGAGTTATGTAGCCGATAAAGAATGACTTCCATGAGTAGAAGGATCCATTCTATCAGTGGATTGTCATTTCAGTGTGGAGGAACTTAAGCAAGAGTTCCCATTCCCGGCTCCTGAAGGGCAGATTGCAGTGGAGCACATCAGCAGGCCTTTTGGTTTTTATTTTTATACAGAAGTATTATAGCACCAACACTTCTATGAAGGCCTCGCTCCGGAGAGCTTGTGAAGTACATTTTACATTACTGAGAATGCTGCGGCAGGAGTGAGACGATCTCACAAGCACCTTTGCTGATGACCATGATGGTGATTACAATGGGAAGGATTGATGGAAGCTGCAACCACCCAGCGAGGCGATTCTACATGAATGCAGCCACCGAAAATCCAAGAAAAGAAATGGCAATCGTATTAATAAATTATAATTGTATTAAAAATTGATACATCAGATAATAATCATTACACGTCATTTTATAATTCGGTGTCCTAGAAATAATGACCGGCTTCAAGCTGCAGGAGGTCAGGATCCCCAGTCCCCTCAATGAAAATTGAAAATAAGGAGATTTATAAATCTTAGCAGCGGAGCGGGGAAAAGGATTTCCAGGAAACAATAGCCAACAATAAGGATCCTTCCACACTGATGTGTTGTTGCTGCGATTTCACCTTGCTAAAAATGAAAGAAAAATGAAAGAAAAATGAAAGAAAAATGAAAGAAAAATGAAAGAAAAACGCAAAAACAAAATCTCCCTTTAAGATGCTCTCCCTTTGCTGCATTGACAAAAGTGTTAACGAATATGCATTTGGTGATTTTTCTAGTGCGTTTTCTGGTTGGACCCCGCATTCACTACATCCGCTCTCCCCGGACCCCGCATTCACTACATCCGCTCTCCCCCGGACCCGCATTCACTACATCCGGTCTCCCCGGACCCCCCATTCACTATATCCGCTCTGCCCGGACCCCGCATTCACTATATCCGCTCTCCCCGGACCCCGCATTCACTACATCCGGTCTCCCCGGACCCCCCCATTCACTATATCCGCTCTCCCCGGACCCCGCATTCACTACATCCGCTCTCCCCGGACCCCGCATTCACTACATCCGGTCTCCCCGGACCCCCCATTCACTATATCCGCTCTCCCCGGACCCCGCATTCACCACATCCGCTCTGCCCGGACCCCGCATTCACCACATCCGCTCTGCCCGGACCCCGCATTCACTATATCCGCTCTCCCCGGACCCCGCATTCACCACATCCGCTCTGCCCGGACCCCGCATTCACCACATCGCTCTCCCCGGACCCTGCACTCACCACATCTGCTCGCCCGGGACCCGCATTCACCGTATCCGCTCTCCCCGGACCCCGCATTCACCACATCCGCTCTGCCCGGACCCCGCATTCACTACATCCGCTCTCCCCGGACCCCGCATTCACCGCATCCGCTCTGCCCGGACCCGGCATTCACTGTATCCGCTCTCCCCGGACCCTGCATTCACTGTACATCCGCTCTCCCCGGACCCTGCATTCACTACATCCGCTCTCCCCGGACCCCGCACTCACCACATCCTCTCTGCCCGGACCCCGCACTCACTATATCCGTTCTCCCCGGACCCCGCATTCACTACATCCGCTCTCCCCGGACCCCGCATTCACTACATCCGCTCTCCCCGGACCCCGCTTTCACTACATCCGCTCTCCCCGGACCCCGCATTCACTACATCCGCTCTCCCCGGACCCCGCTTTCACTACATCCGCTCTCCCCGGACCCCGCATTCACTACATCCGCTCTCCCCGGACCCCGCATTCACCACATCCGCTCTGCCGGACCCTGCATTCACTATATCCGCTCTCCCCGGACCCCGCATTCACCACATCCGCTCTGCCCGGACCCCGCATTCACCACATCCGCTCTGCCCGGACCCCGCATTCACTATATCCGCTCTCCCCGGACCCCGCATTCACCACATCCGCTCTGCCCGGACCCCGCATTCACTACATCCGCTCTCCCCGGACCCCGCACTCACCACATCCGCTCTGCCCGGACCCCGCATTCACTGTATCCGCTCTCCCCGGACCCCGCATTCACCACATCCGCTCTGCCCGGACCCCGCATTCACCGTAACCGCTCTCCCCGGACCCTGCATTCACTACATCCGCTCTCCCCGGACCCCGCACTCACCACATCCTCTCTGCCCGGACCCCGCATTCACTATATCCGTTCTCCCCGGACCCCGCATTCACTATATCTGCTCTCCCTGGACCCTGCATTCACTGTATCCGCTCTCCCCGGACCCCGCATTCACTATATCTGGTCTCCCCGGACCCCCCATTCATTATATCCGCTCTCTCTCCCCGGACCCCGCATTCACTATATCCGCTCTCCCCAGACCCCGCATTCACTGTATCCGCTCTCCCCGGACCCGGCACTCACTGTATCCGCTCTCCCCGACCCTGCATTCACTATATCCGCTCTCCCCGGCATTCACTATCCGCTCTCCCGGACCCCGCATTCACTATATCCGCTCTCCCTGGACCCCGCATTCACTATATCTGCTCTCCCCGGACCCCGCATTCACTATATCTGCTCTCCCCGGACCCCGCATTCACTATATCTGCTCTCCCCGGACCCCGCCACTATATCCGCTCCCCGGACCCCGCATTCACTATATCTGCTCTCCCCGGACCCCAGAGGGGAGGGGAAGAGAGGGGAGGAGAATCAAATGTGTCTAACTAAGGGCTGAAAAATCTTACGGCAAAAGATTAGTAAACTTATGCCTAGTACACACGATCAGATAATTGGACGACTTATTTTGTTGCATTCTAGTCTCACATCAAAAATGAAAAGGTTACTAAAGTAACAAAAATGACAGAATACAACTTGGGAAGCGATGTCATGTATTGTATTGTAATGCATTCTTTCGTCTGAGCATGCGTGGTCTTGGTCGATTTTTTTCCGGACGAATACTGTACTGATTAAAGGAAAACGGTTTGCACTTTTAGCGCACAAAAAAAAAAATTTGTGCTTGTTCCTTCGGATATTGTCGCATGAACTGTCCTGATTGGCTGCTGAAAGCTGTGTCCGAACGGTCAGATTATCGTACGATCGCTCATTTTCGGCATCCGATTTTCCGATCGTGTGTACGGGGCATAAAGTACATTCAGTCTGTGGCAAGAAAATTTGAAAAACTACAAAGTGAACTTTCCAAGAAAAAAGAAAAGGAAGCTTTTTATTTTTTCGACAGCCCCCTGGCTTTAAAAAGTCATTTTCACCCCCAAATAAAAGGGAAAAAAAAACCGAACTACTTCTGACTCCAGTGCTTCCAGGAGGCACAAATGACATCAGAAGTTTAAATCGGCCTATGTTTTGCCTTCCTTGACCCCCTCTTCCCCATCAACATTCTGATAAATTGTTTAAGAACTTTCCATTTTCATTACGTACCTTACATAAGGTAATATATGATGTAATCACTGGGTCTCTGTGCTTCTCTATGCATTGTAGGCAGATCATGGCTTGAGCATGGAGGGGCCCAGCAGGGTGCTGTACATAGCTTCCTGAAAATATCACAGCATCCTGCCTCAGTACTCCTTCCAAGAGCCCTCAGCTCTGATGCAAGCAGTGGGCGGGCTCTCAGGAGGAGTTATGCAAATATCAAACCGCCTTGATGGGGCGGGGTCAGTCTGGAGAAATGAGGCTGTATTTGCATGTGGACCGCCATGATTAAAAGAACTGAAATCCAATGAATGAAGTGGCAGTTCAGTGACAGTCAGGCTGGGGAGGAGTCCTCCAGCCAGGAAATGAGGCGAGCTCTATCTCATTGTGAGAAGCTCACAGTGTGCAGTGAAAACAGAATCAGTCCAGCAGAGCAGCCAGACTGAAGAAAAAGCCGGAGCTCCGATTTGAACGCGACAGCTTTTTTTTTTCTTCTCCTATACTGTCCCCAGGTGATCCTGCCAGCAACACACTTCCTGTTGTAGGGTGACAACTCTCCAATGGAGGAGGAGCAGCGTGGTCACCCTAGAACAGGAAGCGGGCCAAAAAAACAAGCACCATAAAAAAAAGGAAGTTCAAGTCCGAAGTCCCGATCTCCTTCCAGAAGAGCGACTTCAACTCCCGAAACCTTCAGGTCACAGCGACAAGCCAGGCAAACCAGCATTTCCAAAATAAAAAGTCGCCGACCGCGCGGCCTCCGTACTTTCTCAGCGCGGGTTTCCTTTAAGAAGCAACATTCTAGTGTGCGGAAAGGTGACACGAAGAAAACAAAGAGAACTTTGGCGTATCTACGGCACCAACTTCTCGTGTCGCCATGGCAACTGGAACACCCAGTCGCTGTTAGGGAACAGAAGTGCCGCCGTTAACGCTTTGCTTGCAGCCGTTCCGAGGAGGCTTCGCTTTTTCTTTTTTTTTTTTTTTTTCCCCTCTTTATATTCATACGTTCAGAGGGGAAATAACCGGCAACGGCTCCAGAGTTTTTATTGTGCCTCTTTTCAAAAAAGGTCCTTCAGGAGGGAGAGAGAAATTAAACTGGTACTTCTATAGTGCGAGACAATGAGACAATTAAGAGTCAGTTCCCATGGCAACTAATGGCATCGCGGAAGCTGAGCGGGGTCAAGGCCCCAACTATGAGAGGATGCATGATACAGGATCAATACATATATATATACACACACACACACATATATTATATATATATATGTAGTCAGGCCCTGGCTACTGCTGGGGTTGTGTCTAGATGTCCCCAAGGCCTCTCCCCCTACACATGTTGAGGGTCTCCACGAATAAAGACTGAAATGGAGAGAAAAAAGAAGTCTTGTACTGGGTCCCGGAGCCCAGAGGCTTTGGAGAGCTTTGAATTTGAAAAAAACGCCTCCATTTCTAGGTCCATATTGCGAATGCAAAGTGAGCGAACAGAAAAAAAAAAAATCTAAATCAAATCAGTATTTGGTGTGACTACCCTTTGGCTTCAAACCAGGATCAATTCTTACACTTGCACAAAAAAATCTCAATCAAATCAATATTTGGTGTGACTACCCTTTGTGCAAGTGTAAGAATTGATCCTGGTTTGAAGCCAAAGGGTAGTCACACCAAATACTGATTTGATTTAGATTTTTTTTTTTTTTTCTGTTCACTCACTTTGCATTCGCAATATGGACCTAGAAATGGAGGCGTTTTTTTTCAAATTCAAAGCTCTCCAAAGCCTCTGGGCTCAGGGACCCGATGCTCAGTCTTGCCATGGTATAGGACCTGTAACATGAAACGATCTTCCACAACCTCACCTTAGTTGCAGAGTTTGGCTGTTCCTCACCCAGTTTTCAACTTCCTACACAGTTGTTTCAGTTAATGACTGTGTTTCAACCTACATATGAAAATTGATGTTCGTGAGCACGTGCTCGGTATAATCGGTTAATCACGCGCTGGACTCTGACTTTGGCTTCAAACCAGGATCAATTCTTAAACTTGCACAAAGTCAGGGACTTTGTAGGATTAGAGTCCAGCGTAGGTTGAAACACAGTCATTAACTGAACCAACTGTGTAGGAAGCTGAAAACTGGGTGAGGAACAGCCAAACTCTGCTACTAAGGTGCGGTTGTGGAAGACTGTTTCAGGTTACAGGTCATACACCATGGCAAGACTGAGCACCGGATCCCGGAGCCCAGAGGCTTTAACCAATAAATCCGTTCCGGAGGTCAGAAAAAAAAGTCTTTTATCGGTTCAAAATTCTTTATAAAGTGCACTTTAAAGGCATAAATACTGTACAGGGACGTGATTAAAAATTTCCAGAATGGCTCCAAAACGCAGTACAAAAACTGCTCCAACACCTCCACGCTCGATGCCACGTGCTACCCACAGACTCCAGCATGCACGGGGCTGGCGCTATAAACCTCCCAGGCGCAATGCATCCTGGGGAAACTTGCTTCGTATTATGAAAGAAATTCGTAAACCGAGGCATTATTTGCAATGGATTTTCATTTGAAAATTACATTAACAGAGGCATTCCGCCCTGATGTCATCACAGAGGACAAGGAGGCGCTCTTTACATCTGGAGGAAAAGAAATGTAATCTCCAAACACGGAAAGGTTTCTTCACAGTAAGAGCTGTGAGAATGTGGAATAGACTCCCTCAAGAGTTGGTTGTGGCCAGCTCAGTGGATTGCTGTAGGAAAGTCCTGGATTCTTTCTTGGATACACAGAATATAACTGGATATAACATTTATAGGGAAAGTTGATCAGGGAATATCCGATTGCCTCTCGGGGGATCAGGAAGGAATTTTTCCCAGCAGGAGCAAATTGGATCGTGCTTTGCTGGGTTATTTTTGCCTTCCTCTGGATCAACTGTGGGTGTAGGATTATAACTTTTTTTTCTTCTTTAATGGTTGAACTGGATGGACTTGTCTTTTATCAGCCAGACTATGTAACTATGTATCAGCCAGACTATGTAACTATGTAACTATGTAACATGTCTCTGATAAAAGAAAAATCCCAAAAAGTGTATAATTATTGATTTGCGTGAACGTTATATACAAATGAAGGATATACAGTATATGCTGGAATTTTTTTTTGTATATTACTAATGGCGGTGATCAGCAACTTATTAATGGGACTGCGTTGGGCAATCTGACACAAACTGACACAGACATCACCAGTCACACACATACAGTGATAATACTATACACGGTCACTATACTAATGACACTGGCTGGGAAGGGGTTAACATCTAGGGCGATCAGCGGTTACATGTGTGCCTTACTATGTGCAATGTGTGTGCTGCTTTTACCAAACCATCTCTATATTTCACATCCCTGCTTTGCCAATCTATCGATGTATGTACCAAAGCTGGCCGATGTCCCTGGAAGCTGCAAATTCCTGGAACATAATATTTCTACTGCAGTGATCTTCACTAGCTTCCAGGTCCTGTGCTGATCAGCTGGTTCCATGGCATGGTCCTGTGCTGATCAGCTGGGTTCCGTGGCATGGTCCTGTGCTGATCGGCTGGTTCCGTGGCATGGTCCTGTGCTGATCGGCTGGTTCCGTGGCATGGTCCTGTGCTGATCGGCTGGTTCCGTGGCATGGTCCTGTGCTGATCAGCTGGTTCCGTGGCATGGTCCTGTGCTGATCTGGCTGGTTCCGTGGATGCTGGTCCTGTGCTGTGCTGATCAGCTGGTTCCGTGGCATTGTGAACTGACAGGTCAGCTAAGCACAGGCGCCATTCAAGCAAAGCATTCTCTGACTGGTAAAGGACTGGAGGTGGTGTGACATCACTGCCCCGCCTCTCCATCTCGTCCAACCTGAGAACGCTTCCCATTCATTCTGGAAATGCTAAATGTTCCCTGAGTGGCACC